TATTATGGGTAGGCATTAATTGTGTTCCCTAAAGTTAGACTTCACTATTAAATGACATGGTAACGGGGTGAACTCGATCAAATTCTAAATTTAATTAGTCAAACCATTTAACTAAACATGTGCTTATTTGTTTGGACTAAAATAATTTAGTCAAGGGATTGAATATTTAAATCAACTCATATTGTTTGCAATGTAATGCGAGTTAGACATATTTTTTTTTTCATTTTGTGTAGAAAAATACAAAATAAATAAATAAAAATAAACCATGAAAGATTTAAAGAAAAAAAAAAACTAATGTTGATTGTGTGGGTTTGGTTCGGATAGTAAATTGACCAACCTATATTTTAAACTGACTGTTCGTACAAACAATTACGTAAAATTTCAAAAAGCTCGAGTTCTACTTATTCGTTTACTTCAAAAAACAAGCTCGAACAAATAATCAACTCTGTTATTGAACTTGTCGAGGTGAGTTTATACCGCGACCAACTTGTTTATTAATTTATTTATTTTTTATTTTACATAGATTTTAAACGAATGACACAACTGTGATTTCGTCAGCACGTTTATAATTTTGAGTTTGTTAAATGAGTCGAGCCAAAATTTCATGAACTTTTTAGCGAATTGAACTTGAGCCAAGTATTTGAATTGCTCACTAAACAAGGATGAACTTGAACATGAAGTACTCGACTCAGCTCTACTCAAATACTATTCATAGTGATGTAGCACAACGTTAAACGAAGGGACAAGAGATAAAAATCTCAAATAGATAACTTTTCCTATTCCACAAAACTGATCATCAAAACCATTATGCAACAAAATAAATAGACTCCTATGCCTAGTAAAATTCCAACTTGCTAATCAAGTTTTAATCATAACAGATAAATATTATCCTAGCAATAAAAAGTGATAAATAATGAATAATAGAAATAAAAATTATGCGAATAAATAATTATTTTAATGTCGAAATTCGATCGTATTTCTCCAAGAAAGCTATCGCGAGCTCGTCTTCATATCCTTCCCCGGTTGAAGAGGATTTTCCATCGAATCCGCAACGAGCTCGTCTTCCTCCAAGTTGTTGCTGAGGAAGGACGCCAAGTGTTTGATGTTGAAAACGTCCGAAGTACGGATGTGCGAAGGTATTCGGAGACGGTAGTCAGTGGGATCGATCTTCTCGAGGATTTCGACCGGGCCAAATTTACGAACCAACCACTTGGTATATGCGCTATCCGAGAAGTTGTCCGCTGGCACGACTGCCCACACATAATCACCGACCGCCCATACATAATCACCGACCACAAACTCGTTACCTAAAATTGGGTTTACTCTTTTCAACTTCACTCACATCATCTCCATCTCCACTGACAAGCCACCATGTTCGGGTGGCGTCACATAAACCGGCATACGTGTTTCATCATCCTCCACGTCGTATCCTGTAGTTTTAAAACCAACATAATCACTCACATTATTTTCCCCACCACTGGGATCATCGAAATATGAATTCTTCGACCTGTTGGCAACAACCAAATGCCTATGAAATTACCCAATACCAAAGTCATGTGAATGTTCCCCAACACTATGCCCAACAATTCCACTATAGTCATCACACCCGGAGGCATACTTCACAATCATAGGAACCTCGAGAGGCACTCGCGCGGGACTCGTCCTTGGATGCCTCGACCTATGATAGAGGCGCACGTAAAGACAAGCAGGCCTGACGAAGAAGAAGCGTCGGACCGACGTCTCCCATGAGGTGCTCCACACGGACCTCCTCAACAAAGATCAGCAGTCTGTCGTACAAAGGCTCATCAACCGTGATGCCCGCGTCGTTGGTGAACAACGCACGCGTGCCGCTAGGCCGAGGGCAAGCTGAGCGATAACCACTACTACTTCGGAGCTCGCTGCAGCCACGAAATAACCTGCTGCACCACCCGTACTTAGTGCTTAGCCGTGACCCAGCGCTAAACCTGGTAATGAAGTCGAAGCCGTTGTGCGGCCCTGTGATGCACCTACTGCAAGTGTCACTCCCGCGCGCGCTGCCGAGCTGAAAGCCGAGGTGGCCTGGCGCGTCAACTGTTGTTATATGAGTAGTGCGCGCTGATGTGCATCCGACACTTATTCCGGGATGAATAAATTCAAAGAGTCATGTATCGATAGCCAAAGCTTGTCTATATATCGTGAAACGAGCTGATCGGTAGTCTCCCAAACGTCCACTCTCATAAAAAAGCGATAAAAGTATTCGGTGTTCTCATTTACTGAAATCTGGCCTTGGCGCAAATTTTGTAATTGTTGATAACAAGTACGAACAAAATTGAAAGGCAAGACCTCACATTCGAGGTGTTTTCGACGATGCCGCGAACCCTTGAGTTGTTGCCACAACGCCGCATCTCGACCCCACAAGCGTGTAGGAACGAGGCCGACTCTCCTCTCATCTGGCACCTCCTTAAACTCCAAGACCGAGTCGACTGACTTTATCCAGTCAATAAAATCCATTGTGTCTAGCTTGCCCGTGAACTCGGGGATGTCTACGCGGAAGGAGCCCTCCCACCGCCGGCCGCCATCCTTTTTTACCCTCTGGTCGCGCTGCCCGAACGAATTGTCATCCTCTTACGTCGCGTTCGAATCCTCACCGTCGTTGGAGTATGGCGACAATTGGAATAGCCCGTCTACGCCGAAGCCGCGATCCCCGCGGCCTTCACGCTGTCCACCACTACCGTTGACTTGCTCACGCGGTCCTTCGCGGTTCGTTTGCTGGCCTTGTGCAATCATATGAAGAGCCCGACGAATTTTCATCCATCCCCGTCGAAAGATCTGCCATTTTGCGATCGATAGCCTGGAATTATCGATCGAATACCTCGGCCTAGCGAGTTAAAGACTCGATGGTGGCGTCGCGTCTCTCGTCAGCAATCTCTTCGTGGCGGCATCTTGAATCGTCCCGATCTCTGGATACCAACTTATGTAGTGCAACATTAAATGAAGGGGCAAAAGATAAAAATCTCAAATAGATAATTTTTCTTATTCCACAAAACTGATAGTCAAAACCATTATGCAACAGAATAAATAGACTCCTATGCTTAATAAAGTCCTAACTCGTTAATCAAGTTTTAAGTATAACAAACAAATATTATCCTAACAATAAAATGTGATAAATAAGGAATAATAGAAATAATAATTATGCGAATAAATAATTATTTTAATGCCGGGATTCGATCGTATTCTCCAAGAAAACTATGGCGAGCTTGTCTTCATCACATAACACACCAATAACATATAAGAAAACATAATCATTAATATGTCAATATCTTTAGTAAATATGCGTAAGCCAGACATTAAAAATCATAAACAAAAAGTAGAACTAACATAAGAAATTAATGTCTTTATTTATTTGTCCTTTAGGTGCTCAAATAGCTAATAATTACAAAATCAACGTACTGTATAGATAATTGCATATGCCAAGTTGTTAACAATGATCATTTAGGTTAATTTCACGACAATTTTTAGCAACATCTACAGTACCTTCTTTTAAATCTCACATAGGATCTCTCAACTTAATACCAAAACTGTATTAATCATGCCAATTAGTCAAGTTACATTAAATGACACTTATATCTAATAATTAGGAATATATCCTAATAAAACACTAGATAATCCTCGTCACCTACTTCAATAATTACAATTTTTACATATAATAATTTACAATTTTTACACATAAATAAGATTAAACTTAAAAGTGACCCACCACTGCATCTCTATGTAGACCAGCTGCCTTTTGTCTTTTTCAAGAATCTCAAAAACCTACCTATTATAAACAATATTTTTTACCAATTCTTTTATGTTTGACTACAAATTATTGTGATTCTTTTTTCTTATTTATTTTTAGTATATGTAGAAAGAGTCTAATAAAAGTGTAAACAAGTCGAACGAAGCTTGATTTTTTATAGTCAAATTCGAGCTTAAGTATTTATTAAGCAAGTTGTTAAATGAATTTAAACTCAAATCATTATTAATATTAATGAGTATCGAGTCGAACTCAAATCTAAATAAGTTAAGCAAGTTGTTAAATGAATTTAAACTCAAATCATTTATTAATATTAATGAGTATCGAGTCGAACTCAAATCTAAATAAGTTGGATACGAGTCTTAACGAATTGAATTATCTAACTAATTAACTAACAAAATTTTAAACATGTTTGCGTTCAATTTATTTATCAAAGCATTTTAGAGAGATAATAACCCCACAAAAACACACACAGTTCACACTCTGAAGTTACTGTGTCTGTGTGACTCTGAATAAAGTAGTGGGTCGCATTTCCTTTTTCTTTTTTTTTTGTGTGTTTTTCTTTCTTTTGTTTTGTGAAGAATCTCATTCAAGTTTGAATTTTTTCAATTATATATTTTGTGTGGGGTTTTATCAAATTTACAATTGCTTTTGTCTTCTTTCGTCTATCTTCACATGCTACTGAGTTTCACTGCTTCACACAGTGGACGTGAAGAGATCTGCATTTCGAGCTCTCACAGTCCTCAAATCGAGGTACGAATCTTAAGACGACGAGAGTTCGCAATTCACATTTTGTTTCTTCAAGATTTTTAGCGAGATTTTTGGGTATCCATCTTTTCATTTTTCACTTGTTGTTTTGGTTGAGATTGATTTGTTTGTTTGTGCATAATTCCTTGGTTTTTACTGATTTCGAGTTGAGCTTGCGGAATGTATTATGTATAGGTTGATTATTCTGTGCTTTAAACATGGCGTGGGTTGAAATTATTTTTACGAGCGAGGAAATTAGGTAGTGAGGTTTGTGTGTGGGTGGATTTTTTTGTTTATGTGAAGTACATTTCACCTAAATCTTCAAGGAAAATAACTTCTAACCTCATATTACTGTTTGAGAGATGCTTATGGTCATTTGATTTGATTTTTCTTGAATCCAAAGAATGTTCATTGTTTTTTTTCCTCTTTAAATTGTCCCGATAGCTCTTGAATTTTGTTATTTGACCGATTTTTTTTGGTTTTGAGAAATGAAAAGTAAATGTGAGAGAGTGTTGCTGTAATCTTCTCCGTTCGTCCTAAAGATTAACATGCTGAAGTAAATGGCATTGTGGGCTGTGTTTATATGGTTTTGACTTTTTTGCCTGGTGGCCATTTCCCAGACTCAGAATCATATTTGGCATTCTAACGGCATAGATCTGCAATACTTATGTGAAATGTCTTATTTTAAGTGCAATTTGTAATTTGAAAATGAGAGTGTGAAGCACTTGCAACCTGTAATATGTGCACTTGCTCCCTGTTCAAGCTTTTGTTATCTGGCATATGCGTTTTTGCTGATTAACCTTTTTCATTTTCTGATAAACTCTCAGGCTTCCATTTTGAAATCCAGAAATTTTGGGATAAGTACGCTGAGAAGGTAATCTTGAATGGTATAAAATGGAGAACTATGATGTGTTGGAGCAGATTGGGAAAGGCTCATTTGGTTCTGCATTGCTTGTTAGGCATAAACAAGAGAAGAAGAAGTAAGAAACATAGTCTCTGTTTGCATTTTGTGATTACGTGCTGATGACGGCTAATATTCATAATTGAGATCACTGACGATTTTAGGAGTATAATTTATGGGCCCAAAAATCAGATTTATTTAATTTTGATTTTCTGCTGCATTTTGAAGGTATGTTCTGAAGAAAATCCGCCTTGCTCGTCAGACTGATAGAACACGAAGATCTGCACACCAGGAGGTGCCTGTTTAATGGCCATTCTATGCTTAACTGTTATACTCGTCAGAATAAATAATGGTTGCACCCCACAGTTTATATAAGTTTTTGTATTAGTAAGTTGTGTAGTTCACTGTTATTGGGATTTGGGAATATGTACTATCCAACTGTTGGGAGTAACTTGTAAGTCGTAATTTGTTTACATTTTTATTGTGAATTTTAATTTTCTTGCTTTTCACAGATGGAGCTTATTTCCAGAGCGCGAAATCCATATATTGTGGAGTACAAAGACTCCTGGGTGGAAAGGGTATGTGCAAAATTCAAGACCCCACCTTAATCATAGTGTTGATAGAATAGCAATTTTGACACCTTACTTGGAATTTTATGCAGGGTTGTTATGTTTGCATTGTGATTGGGTACTGTGAAGGCGGAGACATGTAAGTCGCCCTTTTCTCATGATATTGCTCTTGCAAATATCAGGCAATAAAAAAAAACACCATAATCTAGCCTTCTGGGAGTAGATCATCATGTGGTTGAATATGTTGTAGAATTGTATTTCTGAATTGTTAACAGTTATCTTGTTTTGTTAATATATTTAGGTCCGAAGCCATTAAAAAGGCAAATGGAGTTCATTTTTCTGAGGAGGTTGTCCTTTTGACATGTTTTCGTGCTCATATTGCTTACTTTCTTTCACCCCCTAAACCCATAATGAACAATGCTAATTTAGGTGTATTCTATTTCCAAATCATGTACAGAAGCTTTGCAAGTGGCTGGTTCAACTGTTGATGGCACTTGATTACTTGCACACCAACTATATTCTACATCGTGATGTCAAGGTGTATATTACGCCGCCCTTTCGACCTATTAAGACTTAAGCATTGAATAATAGTATAATACATATTAAAGGCCCCATTACTTTCTTTTCAGTGTTCAAACATATTTCTGACAAAAGATCAGGACATACGTTTAGGTAACCATTTTTATTTTTTCTTTTAAAATCTCCCAATATTTGATTAGATGGCATGTAGCTTACTTCGACCTATACCTCTGAACTGGCTTCTTTATTGTTAACCTTTTCAGGGGATTTTGGCCTTGCTAAAATACTGACTTCTGATGAACTAGCTTCTTCTGTGAGTAAAATAGTTACTGGCCATCAGCTTGTTTCCATGTTTTTATAATTAAGTTTAATTTGTCTATATCTAATACATGGCAGGTGGTGGGCACACCAAGTTACATGTGCCCTGAGCTTCTTGCTGATATACCTTACGGTTCAAAGTCGGACATCTGGTCCTTGGGTAAATTTCTAAATATCACATTTTTTATTTTATTTTTTCTACTTTTTTTTTTCTCCGTACGGTTTTTATGATCGCTTACAAACTTCCAATACGCTTTATCCAGGATGCTGCATTTATGAAATGGCTGCTCACAAGCCTGCATTTAAAGCCTTTGTAAGTAAAAGCTTCAGCATGTTAAGTGTCTTCAAATTTAGATTTGTGTCCATTGAAATTGATACATATTTCAATTTAGACTTTCGGTTTAGACTTTCAATTTAGACTTTCATCCATTCAAATTGATACATATCTGCTACCTTTCGAAAATCTTGTGCGAGAGCAAAATATGTTAAGTCATTTATAAGGGCCCAGTTGATAATCTCTTCAAAAAACTAACAAGACTGCCCACATTTATCAGAAAGGCTTGTGAAAATGGAAGTTATACCGTTTTTTTGTTGTACACGGGCCTGTATTTTTTTTTTTTAATTCCCCTGATGTTTTAATTTGGCTCCATGAACAGGATATACAAGGTTTGATCAACAAAATAAATAAATCCATCGTAGCTCCACTTCCAGCTATGTATTCTGGTCCCTTGTAAGTCTGCGAACTTCGGTTTTATTCAAGTCTGCTATATCCGCATCGGTAACTTATTTTTGTCGATAACTCTCTTCACTTTCACTAACTCATGTCTTTCATTTCCCAGCCGTGGACTCGTCAAGAGTATGCTTCGCAAAAATCCCGAGATTAGACCAAGTGTATGATCCATTTGTTTTCTATATTTTTTTTATATGGTACATTTTACTCCATTCATTTGTCATTTCGCTTTATTTTTATTTTTTATTTTTTATCTCCAGGCTGCAGATTTGCTGAAACATCCACATCTCCGGCCCTATGTACTAAACGTTCATCTCAAGTCGAACAATCCTAGACGACACACTTTTCCCACTCTATCATCTGAACCAAATTTTGTCAAGAAAACAGCATTTACTACAGACTCAGAAGCTTTCAAAAGAGAGAAAAGGTTGTCGTTCGGCAACAACAGGGCTCTCAATCCCAGCATATCGGGAAATGACCTGGACACTCCTTGTTCCTCTGAAAGAGCTCACAAATCATTGAGCCATTCAAATGAGAAATTTTCGGACTTGTCAATTGGCAGTGTAGTTCAGGACATAGGCGTGAAGAAACCGGTAATGGCAAAGTTCTCAGGTGCCACTGCCTTGAAAACCCCAAGAACTGTATCGGCCAAGGCTTACAATGCAAATCCCAGAAGACACTCATTGACCCCATCCAGAATATCGAATCCTGGCTCAACCCGCGAATTGGTTCGTTTTCTGTTTTCAACACTTGGTTATGTGTCTTCGATTTTTTATTTCTTGAAAAATATGTGTTTTCTACAATGTTATCCAAACATAAAAAGGTTTAGGTACAAAAATAAAAGATACTCTTATAGGTTTGGTATGATTCCAAAAAAAAAAATTCACACTTTTCGCAAAATTACAGAGTTGATTGCCAAGAAATAGCNCTTATTTGGATCAAACCCCAATGACACTGAATTGAATTATATATATATAAATGTGTGCAGCTCCCAGTTTCTCACACACCGGCCCGAAAGCCCTCCCTCCCGATGGCCCGCCGGGCTTCCCTCCCTCTCTCCTCACAAAGAGCCGCCCCTCCATCATCCCCGTACAAGCCCCTTCTCGGTGGGGCCCACTCTCCCGACGTGTCGGTCAACGCCCCGCGCATGGACAAGATGGTCGACACCTCGATTTCCGTGCAGTGCTCGTTCAACGGCCGCTCCATCACCAAGGACAAGTTCACGGCCGCCGGTTACAACGGTAGCGACTGTTCGGTCGAAAACGACCGCTGCTCGTCTTCCAACAACTCGCGCCTGCGGAAATTCAACACCCGTTCGTACCAGCAGCGGGCCGAGGCTCTGGAAGGGTTGCTCGAGTTCAGTGCGCAGCTGCTGCAGCAGGAGAGGATTGACGAGCTGCAGGTGCTTCTAAGGCCGTTTGGGCCAGAGAAGGTGTCACCTCGGGAGACTGCTATTTGGCTAACAAAGAGCTTCAAGGAGAATGTCGTGTGATGCGGGTTGGGTTGGGCCGGGTTGTTGTAGATTTAATGGCTAATGTAGATGAATTTGGTGAATTTGTTGGTGGTTTCTGTTGTTGTTGCTAATGTAGATGATGGATGAAGCTTTTAGGTGAGGGTTTATGGTGGTACCATTTGATGATGAGAAGACCTATTTTCTCAATCCAAATGTGCATGAAAGACTTGTTCATGGCAGAAGGTAGAAAAAGTAGGAGGATTTGTGTAACTTTTTTAACTAGGAGGAGCTCTTGGTGCTGATGGAATCTTATCTTTCTCGACTCAAACTAGAGCTGTTAAACGAAACGAGCTGCTCGTCAGCTTGGCTCGGATGGTTAAAAATTGAGTTCGGGTCGCCTCGTTTGATAAATGAGTCGAGCTCGAGCTCTCTTAAAGCTCGATTCGTTAAATTTTATTTTCTGGCTAGTTAAAACTCGAGATCAGTTTGAACTTGGCTCGTTAATATTGATAAACGAGTCGAGTTCGAGCTCAATTTTTGGCTCGTTAAGGGTTCGAGCTCGAGCTTGAACTCAATTTGGCTCAACTCGTTTAAAGCCTAGTCTCATCCTAAAATAGTTTTACAATTATTCATGCATTTAATTGCTTTTTATATTCCTATATATCCTTGAAACGTAATATTAAGGGTTGTTTTATGTACAGAAATTGTTTAATGTGGAAACCAACAGGCTTTTGTGATCAACTAATGGTATTTTATTCATTGAATTGTAGTCATCCGAGTGGACTGTCAAAATATGTTCAAATGCGACTGGGATAGGTGATTATAAAATTACTTCAAAACAATATATAATTTGTCATAATAATCGCATTACCAAATGCATGTAGAATTATGTGTTGGTAATTGGTAATATCTAAATTGGATGTTTTGATAATATTGTTGACAGAAATTAGAAAAAACGGGTGCGGGCCACTATCATAAAGCGCACCATTGAAAAACGGGAAAAGCTGATATGAAGTTCAAATGGGGTTTTATCTCAAAATTAATTGGTGGAAGAAGGAGGAGTAGCCCATTAGTCTTATAAGGTGGGTCTATTTTTAACGATGTGGGATAACTGACAAGTGATATTCTAACAATTGTAACATATAAAATAATTAATATATAAATATGTATTAATAATTATTATTATATTTTAATTTGATAATGTTATAAGAAGTACAGGTTGCCATGTTACTAGAACATATAATATACGGAATTAGATCGACTCATCATAGTAATATTTTTACACACATACATACTTTTTCAATGAAATATTATATTTTTAAAAATAATGTAAGTAAAAGTCTGATATTTTATAAGAGATGTATGACTTTTGCTATTAAAAAGTATTGACCATCTGCATAATACAAGAATGTATGCTGATAACAATAATACTTTAATTAACTCAGTTTATTTACGTTCACAGCAGTATCCAACAATTTTGGAGTGCTAAACACACGGCGAAGTTCAACATTCCGATCTTACGAACCTGTTGTCCGATCAAGAGAGGGCGACGATGGAGGAAGCTTGAATTAATTCCTACATCGATAATGCAAAGCAAAGCCAAGCCTCGGGCGCGCCGGGCCGGGCCTGCTACCAATCGTCGGCATCCCCGAGCCCGATAACTCGTTTCTACTGGCCCGTAAGCTCGCCTTTCTTAATTACGATGATCGGAGAATGGCTCTGAAGGTATAAATCAACAAATCTCATGCTCGTGCGTTTCTCCTTTTCTTTTCTGTTTTTGTATATCACAATTTGTGGAGCGATGTGCCTTTGAAGAGAACCTGGATAGATAGAATCGTGTCGTCTTTGGGGATCCAAATGAATTACGATCAAGATTCAAACATTGAGGATCAATTGTGGAAAATTTGAGGATCTAGGGTTTGCATTTTGGTAATTAGTGTTTCGTTTGATGCAAATTGGGGCTTTGTCTTGCCCGAGCTATGATAAATCTGACCGGCGGCCGTGAGCTTGAGCTTGAGCATATGAAAAATACTGAAATTTGAGATGGACTGGGCAGGGTTTAGGATGCTCATGGGACAATGATTTGATTACAAAATGTCTGAAAAAGAAAAGAAAAAATAAGTCTTTCATTTAAGTTAACTAAATTACTGATTATTCATGTGTGTATCTGTGTAGATTATTCCCCTTGATGTCGATTATTGATCTGTGACTCTCTCTGAAACTTCCATGTTATCTATATCAGGAAGAACTAAGAAGTAAACTAATCGTGTCCAAGTTTGCATAATAGACAAAATTTGGGAATTGTTTTGAGTTGGTTCACACATAGTTAAGATCAATATCACATTGCCTGTTTGAATATTAAGTCGGTCGAGCCCCTTACAATTACTGCCTAGACGAGAGTTTAATCCGGTCGAACTTTCAAGCAACTATATATTTCAATGCATTATTTTTTTTTATTTTTTTTATAAACAATATGAATCACAATGAATTCAAGATGTAAATCCTCTCAAGTTATATCCAAGTTGAGATCAAAACCAATATTACTTCGTGTGACAATGATGTGCCTCTAAAAAGTTTCTGATATGTCGTGCATGCGTATATCCATACTATATAATGTTCCATCTCTGTACATCAACTGGTTTTCACTTTGTTCTAGGTTGTAACACGCAAACAGAGATAATTATTAAACTGTTATTGAAAAAGAAAAGGAAAAAAAGATGGACAAGGCAATGAATGATTTTTTAGGCTATGAGGCAAAGGGAATAAAATTTGCAGAGATGCTTTGCAATAAATGGTCCCTTTCTGCAGATGCTTTAAGCAGAGATGAATTTTTGAGATGATATATTTAGAGAAACACCGAGTGTATTTTTGTTTCTCATTTTGTTTTTTTTTTTTTTTTTTTTTTTTTTTTTTTTTATAGGGGGGAACGAAAATAAAGAAGAAGAAAAAGAA